GTTTAGGGTTTAGGGTTCTGGGTACTGCCCCCACCCAGTAACAGTCTATATTAGGGGTCCTATTAAGGGCTATATATAACCATACTATGATTAGTATCCAACTGTTACTGAGGGGGGGCAGTACCCAACTTAGCCACAAGATTGAAGGCATTTTGAGGCTTTGGGGGTGTTTAGGGTTTAGGGTTTAGGATTTAGGGTTTTAGGGTTTTGGGTGTTTAGGGTTCAGGGGTTAGGGTTTAGGGTTGAGGATTACTGTTTATGGTTTAAGATTTAGGGGGTCTAGGGTTCAGGGTTTCGGGTTTAAGGGTTCAGGGTCTAGGGCTTGGGGTTGGTGAAGTCTTGGGTTTAGGTTGGATACTGCCCCCCACTCAATCATAGCTGGATAATACTTGCAACAAGGATATACGAAGTCCTTAACATTATGCCCATTACTGGCTGTTACTGGGTAGGGGAAGTACCCAAGGTTTAGGGCTTAGGGATTTGGCTTTTCCCACGCCTCATCTCCACTGGGTTAAAAATGTCTTATGACACAGCACGCTTGCCCTTATGGCATTCCGTGACGAAGCCGAAGCCAATGGTGCAGCTTGCTATGCCCCAAAACAAAGTCCTCCTCCTCCGACTAGGACACTTCACTTTCTCCCTGGCCCACAACCCCTAAACCAAAACCCTGATCCCTAAACTCCAAACCATAAACCCTTAAATCAGAAAAGGCATCTCGTCCGCCCCGTTTCTATGCTGTGCGGGTCCATACCAATCAGGGTTTAGAGCTGTGGATTGAAGGGTTGCGGGACAAAGCAGGCTACACTTGGGGGTTTAGGGTTTAGGGGTTATGGGGATGTTTTGTGTTTAAGAGCTTGAGGTATTGTATTATTTGGGGAATCTTGAAAGCGTGGGAAGATCTGCCACCAATGGAAAAACTTTTGAGTCACAACACAATCCGTTCCCAGCAGGGCAAGACACTAAGCCCTATACCGGGAACCCCAAACGCTAATCCTAAACCTGCAGTTTTGCACAAGGATCATACGAGCCATGTGTGTTGCTTCCATCCGCAACCAACACACACGCTGCCAACGAACGCTACACTCAAAACCCTAAACCCTAAAACCTACATAATAGCCCCCTATAGAACTTAAACCTTAAACCCTAAACCCCTAAAGCCCAAAAAATCCCTAGCCCCTCTCGATGTGTTCCTCACACAATAAGGAATCCCATACCCCAAAAAGTATAAACCCTAAACCCTAAACCCCTAAACTTAAGCCCCTAAAACCCTAAACCCTAAACCCCTAAACTTAAGCCCCTAAAACCCTAAACCCTAAACCCCTACACTTAAGCCCCATAAAACCCTAAACCCTAAACCCTAATATTGATCCAGGCAAAGTGCTGGAGTCCGTTAAAGCCATGGGATGGCCCTGGAAGTAGGCATCCAAACTCCCCTGGTGTCGGTGTTCGGGGTGTTCGAATTTAGTTTAGGATTTGAGGCTTTCGGGCTTAGGGATTAGGAGTTGGGGCCTAGAATTTAGGATTTGGGGCTTACGATTTAGGATTTAGGGCTGAGGGTTGATGGTTGAAGGTTCCTGTTATGGGGTCCAGGGCGCCGGATTCGGGAGGTCGTGCGGAATCTTGAGGGGCTATAGTGAGCTTTGCATAGGGATTGGAAGGAAATCATCTCAGGCGTTTTGCTCCTGTAGAGTTCTGAAATTACTTCTAAGCCTTAAACCCTAAGCCTTACACCTTCAACCCTAAACCCTAAGTAGATTTCTGAAGTTAAGTCTCAGGCAGGCCCGGTCAAGCAGGCAGGGGTTTAGGGTTTAGACCCTAAACCCTAAACCCAGGGTTTAAGAAGCCTTGGGGAAGAATTAGGCAGCAATCAAGTTTCAGGGTTTGGGGTTTAGGGTTTTACCACTGAGGATCTCATACCGCCTCCAGAATCTTGGACCGAAAAGAGCGGCATTCCTCCTTACATAAGCCCCTTTATAACCCCAGTTTTGCATTTCATTTTCCAGGGGCTTGCCCATTTGATTCTCCAATATCCCTATGCCCTTAACCCCAGATGGGACTTGGCCTAACATACGGTTCCCAATTGAGGGGAAATCTGTATAGGGACCTGCAATGCAATGAATCTAGGAAAATCAGGTTGGTCCGAACCCTAAACCCTAAACCTTTCTCGAAATCCCAACATATCGTCTGTGACCTCCTCATAATACCTTGATATTCACCCAAAAGTCGCACACGCTGCAAAATGTGAGTTGAAGAATTCCCAAGGATGCATCCAAAGTACTAATCTTTACACTGAACAATGTACTAGCATACTGAACGACCATAAACTAGAGGTACTTCAATATGCTATAAAAGCCCCAAGGATACTCTACTGCACTAGCGGAGGCTATAGCACACATTAGTAGAATATTGGCAGATCTTGCTGGGAAGCGACCCATGAATTTTCTCAGGCGTTGCAAAGCTAAATGGAGCTATTGCTTCTAAGTAGAATTTCGATAGAAGTGAAAGTCTTCCAGGAATGGGATATGTCAAGTTGACCAATACTGCCAATAAGATTTGTCTTCCGAATACGGTCCTTTCAAAGAAACAGAACCCTCCCAGGCGTATAGAATCAGAAACCAATGACAGTAGGTTTTGAGGGAGTTTACAAAACATGTAGATTTCTTGCATGGAATGCCTGACTGATGGACCATGCGGGTCGGATGTAAGCATATATATGTGTGTGTAAACTGTTCATAAACACAACAATAAGGAGAATAAGAAAATTATTTCCGGAAACCCTAAACCCTAGACCCTAAACTGTACTTCCTAAACCCTGAAACCCAAATCCTAAACCCTTAACCCTAAACCCTGAAACCTTAAACCTTAACCCTTAAGCCCTAACAGACATCATCATGATAAAAATGAGCCTGAAATACTTATCTTGCCCTTAACTCAAGACCTCTAGATAAGGCTAGACCTACCCCCCCCCCCCTTCAGCCGCTCAAAGACATCGTCGGGTAGGGGCAGCGGAAGCAGTGGCGATGCGGCCAGCTGCTTCTCAATCTGCATTCGGTTTTAGGGTTAAGGGTTTGGGGGTTTAGGGTTTAGGGCTTGGGGTTTAGGGTTAAGGATTTAGGGTTTAGGGTTTGGGGTTTAGGGGTACAGTACTTCTGCAGATGGAGGACATCTTGCACCGCCCTAAGCTGCCCTATACCTCTAGACCCTAACCCCTATACCCTAAACCGCTTAGGAATTGCACTGTTATGGGGTTTTTAGGTGATGCAGGAATTCCTCCATCTGTATGAAGCTGGCCAAATAAAGTAAACCTTACATCAAACATGCCCTCTCATATATAAAGTTCCCTATGGAAATATTGAATTCTCAGGGGTGGCGCACGTGTGCCGTCAGTACGTCCAAAGCCTGAATTAAACATGCTTTTTCCGGCTATGTTTCTCGTTATATATATATATGTATAAATATATATATATGTATAAAGATAGATAGATAGATAGACAGAGGGGTATCCAGTGGGGTCCAGGGATGACATACGTCTTGTAAAGGGCTTAGGGACTATCCAGCGACTGTCAGCCCCAACCGTGACAGTTCCCCTGTGGCGCTTTAGTTCCACACTAAACCCTAAACTCTAAACCCTAAACATAGCAGGCTGGCTTGAAGTCAATAAGGACGCTGGATTTCGGTTCTATTGTTGAAAACCATGGGCCCCTAGTATGGTCCCTTAACCCTGGGATCCTTATATACCTACTATATACCCTTATGTACCCCTAAGGGTCTCTAGAATCCCCCTAAGAAGCCCAAGGGCCCATATTAGGGGCCCATACCCCTTACCCTAGATCAGTGAGATGGGAGAAGGAGCAAGCTCTTAAGCCCTAAGCCTTAACCAAACATGCAAATGCCTATAGACGAATCCTTTCTGACACCGCTCTCCCGCCGTTCCCAGTTGAGCGTACTTCCCAACTTCTGAGACCTACAACTCAAATAGCTTAACAACAAACAGTGCTTAGGGTTTAGGGTTACAAGCCGCCTTAAACGCTCAAGCCTCCCTCACTCACGCGACCAAACTTCACAAGCTGCCCCCCCAGGCACCAACCCTGACCCCAAAATCCCACCCACCGATCCCTAAACCCCAAACTAAAACCTGCGCCCTAAATCCTACACCCCTAGATCTTACCCTCTTGAAATCCGAAATCCTAAGCCCTCAGCCCCTAAACTCCTACAACCTAAAGCTTCAAAAATCCAAGCCCCTAAAAACGCTGAACCCTTGATTCCCTAAACTTACTAGTGGTTCATAGTATAGTAGCCCCTATGTAACTCCCAACTATACGATGGTTTGGACACTCTCTCTTGAATTCCTCAATTCCCTACTTAAACCCTGTAAACACAGCATTCCATGTCAGTCTCCATTTGCTGGGCCATGTGGCTATTCCATCCCTACTCACAACCAATGAGTAAACATCTGAACACACATTGCCCCACACCCTAAACCCTAACCCCTTTAAAACCCTATACCCTAAACCCCAAACCCTAAACCCTTTACCCCTTAAAACCCTAAACCTTAAATCCTACGCCATAAACCCCAAACCCTAAGCCCTAAACCCTCGGCCCTGGCCTGCTGCGGTAGGTCAGAGAGCTGCTTCGCAGCTCTTCCAACCCACCTGCCCGCCTCCGCAAGAAGAATCAGGGGTTATAGGAATTAGAAGTCATGCATGGTTGGTGTCTGGATTCTGTAGCTACTAAAATCTAGGGACAGGATGCTTAATGTTTAGGGTTTAGGATGGAGAAACAACTTGAAAACGAGATGGCAACCGGGAATAGATTCGTGGCTGTGTTGGGATTGTAAGGAGAGATCCGGGTTTACGGCTTAGGGCTTACCAAATGTGGCAAGGTCTAGTTCCTCAGGGAGGGGGGTCCATACAGGCCTGCCGTTTGGGCGGCCGAACTTCCTAGGGTTGCTTCTTTGAGGAGAATGGGTCGTTAAAGTCTGGTTATGAATACCCGGGATGGTTGAAAATATGATTGCCCTGCTTGTACCAGTACTCGCGACGTATAGCATCCCTGCTCCTTCAAGCACCCCCAATCACAAACTCACCACCCCCTTCATAATAACTTGCCCCATATTCGTCAGGGTAAGACTTCTTATTATCTGGCGGGACCGTACAACTCTAAACCCTAGCCCCTCAAGCCCTAAACCCTAGCCCCTCAAACCCTAAACCCTAGCCCCTCAAACCCTAAACCCTCCACCCTAGCCCCTCAAACCCTAAACCCCCAAACCCAAAACCCTAAACCCCATACCCCAAACCCCCAAAAACCCAAAGCATTACAGGTAAAAATTCCAAGCGAGGCAGGTGCGCCTGCGCCAGGCGATGCAGGCTCTTTGCTCCCGTGCGTCTCCTCCAGTGCTCGGGACTTCGGGTTGACTTTAAACAGGGTTTAGGGTTTTAGGGT